GTCCTATCCGGATAATAGACCAACCGCTTATCCAAATTAAACAAATTCGGTATCTCCGTCATCCCTTGTCAAATTTGGTTTGGAGACAAACCGGTTTCGGCGTTGTGCCATCTTCAGTGTCATTTTTCGTTCTGCATAATTTTTGTTGGTTGCTCGTATTTATACTCCTTGTTAACTACCTCTTTCTTTTGTTAGGTACGTCTTTTTAGTTTTGCAGTGTTTGCGGTACTCAATAGGTAGATGAATTGTTTTGGCTCGTTTTTGACGGCAGGTAGAAGTCCGTGATTTTTACCCCCTTTGTTTTTGCAGTCGGTGTATTCCCTTCCATATCTGTCCTTAATATTTTCTTGTTGTCATTCTTCTTCTTGTACAGTAGTTTTAGAGGTTCAAACAGTACGTCCGATGCAGTATTTATTTGCTCATTTATTATTTGTCCTTTGAAGGTCTTCTGTTTATATATTTCCATATTTTCTAATATATTCAATCTTTGTCCTTTATGTTGTACACGGAGAAGTTCTGTTGTTTGTCCAATCTTCATTGGTGTGCATTTATTTTTGATCATGTGATTCGCGAAGTTCGATTCTATTGCAGCCTCTGGTTTTCGTTTTTTCTTATTATAATCCCTTATGTGTTCTCGATACCTTGTTCTTATATTTCGCCCTGTTTGTCCTATGTAACTGTGTCGGCACTCACAGGTTAACTTGTAAACACCCTGTTTATCTAGCGGGTCTTCCTCGCTTATTTTCTCTTTCAATATATTTCCCACTGTGTTCCTTGTTTTAAATGATGTCTGAATGTCGTACTTATGAAAGAATTTGGCAAGTTTGTAAGATGTCTTTCCTGTATAAGTTAGAGCTGCCCAAGTTTTTTTATTGTTTTCCTCTTTGCTAGTCTTTTTCGATTTTGTGTCCTTTCTTAACTTCTCCACCAGGCCTCTCCTATATCCGTTATTTTCCGCAATGGCATATGGAGAGGCCTGGAATGGAAGGGAATACACCGACTCCAAAAACAAAGGGGGTAAAAATCACGGACTTCTACCTGCCGTCAAAAACGAGCCAAAACAATTCATCTACCTATTGAGTACCGCAAACACTGAAAAACTAAAAAGACGTACCTAACAAAAGAAAGAGGTAGTTAACAAGGAGTATAAATACGAGCAACCAACAAAAATTATGCAGAACGAAAAATGACACTGAAGATGGCACAACGCCGAAACCGGTTTGTCTCCAAACCAAATTTCACAAGGGATGACGGAAATTCGTTCCATAATACATCATACACCCACCCTGTCGGAAACAACAACAACCAAAAAGGAAAAATTTGGTATCATATGAAAGAGGAGTGAAATAGCTTTTAAACAGAAATAATAAGTGAAGCTTATCATTTCTATTTATATTTTTTTATAACTTAGTACTAAAGAAATTCATGTAAATACATACCTGACCCAATGTTTGTTCTATGGTAATTAATTAACATTTTTTATTGAAATATTTTTCAATATGTGGCTGTTGCGTGCCAATGAAAACATTTTCTATTTTTTATTTATTTCAACATTGTATTTCCTTATTAACATAAATTTGTTTTAAAACACTAATGTTACTCCTGCCGTGTGCAATCCTGAAAACTGAACGAAGCGTGTTTTTGGCAAGATCGTGTTTTACGGCACGATTGATTCGGTTTCGGGAACGACACGTGTAAGGTAAGCGGTGAAAAGATAGAATTAAAAATATTGGTTGAAAAGTTAAATAAAACTTTGTAAAAAATTTAATTTACAGATATTAAAACCTACAATAACAATGCTAACAATTTTCGATAAATCATAAATATTGTTTTCTGCGTTCTTAATACACGTGTGGAATCTCCCTGCTGCAAATGTCGTTTGCAAATTTACATGGTAATACAACGAGCGGCGACATTATTTTTAATATCCCTGCAGCAAAATTTAGGGACAGTCTGGCAAAGCGCTAGTTCCGCCCTACAAATTTCAGAACTGTCTCTGAACTACTGAAAAAGGGATGCAGAGTTGGACGGTTGAAACTCATATGTTGCTAGTTGCGCTGTCATCAATGTTACTCATCCTGGTCATGTGAAAGCTGACAAAAGATGCACAAATGTAATATACTATATTTTTTCGATTTTCTTAGACCCTAAAAGTAATAACAAACTGTTTTCGTTTATTTAATATGTAATTCTCTACATAGTTTATGGGGCAACTGCTCAAATATTTCCAAAAAAGTCGTTATTGGTACATTAATGTCATTTTTTATACATATCTACGTACGTATGTATAAAATACGAATAAAATCATATAAACCGTGTTTTAAAACTTTATACAAAACAAAGTTAAATTTAACGATTTTTCGTCAAAATGTTTGACCTTTTAATCAGATGTAAAAAAATTTGCAAAAGTGGTAAACAATCGCACTTTGAAATGGGAGTGCTATTCATATGAACGATAATGTACATACGTAAATGTATCACTAAGCCCCCGAAATGTGTAGTTATGCATTGATTTTTTTTTTAATTTCCAATGTTCTTCATTTTCAATATTTTTCGTTTAGTTTTTATTTAAGTACTATGTCTCATACTCCATAAACCATTTAAATTCAAATTCCTAACTGTGCTGCAAACTTATAGAACTCTAAAAACTGTCTTCAAAATTTCAAATCTTTAATCAGATATTTTTTTATAAATATTTCGAGTATTCTGTTTTGTAGCCCATAGAATTTTAGTGTAGTAAAGTGTAATCTTGCATCTTAAACGAAAATATTTAAATAGGAGAATGCCTTCAAGAGCGTGCGTAAAAAGAGTTATAAAAAATCAGCGCGATTAATTATACTAAAATTTAATGGGCTATAGAACTGCATACTTATAAACTCTGATTTAAAATATTGAAGTTTTTATAACAGTTTCTAGAATTCTACTAAATTTCCAACACAGTTAGAAACGTGAATTTATTTGTTTATGTTATAATACTTATGAGCCATCCTTAAATAAAAAATTTACGAAAAATATTTAGCATGAAAACTATTGTGAATATTCACAATTCTATATTTCTTATGAGATGCCGGAAAGTCCATGTATTGCATTTCAATAAATTTAATGCAATTTAACGCTGAGTTATCACGAATAATCATTCAATATATCACCGTTTTTCTCATTTTTTGACACGACTTAGTTCAGATTTTTAATTATAGGTATCCCAGAAATACCCATTATACGTAACAAATATAAATCATTTTTAAGAATAACGGTTTTAGAAAATAAAGGAATAATTGACACTTTATGTTCCTAAATTTAAAGCACAGTTTGCGTCAAAAAGTAAATTAGTTCAAAACAAATAGCTCTTGAAACATATAATGAAGTATTTTTATTTACAAAATTGTTTGCGTGCCTATTTAAAGAAAAGGCTCCATACTATACTTATTAGAACCAGCTCAAAACTAACCACATTTTTTCTAGCCCGGAGGTGACCCTTTTTGAACTATCTATGAACTGTTGTTATATGAACTGTATCAGAACCATCTAAGCCAGAGTCAGCTCAGAACAAGTTCAAAAGTTCTGCAGAGGGCGACAATTGTCACTTCGTAGGACATCGCCATGTTAAAAAAGACAGTTGCAAGCATTGAGTTGGGATAGATGAAGAACCAGTACCGTCCCTTTTCAGGCTAGCTCAGCGCAAGTTCTGAACCAGTTTGATTTGCTGCAGGGATCTTACTCCAACATTTTTTTGGATTGGAGTAAATCTGTTTTATTAAATCAATGCCCAGTCATCCATACAACTTAAGAAGAGACAAGATGTCTGAAAAGGAGGACTCTGCCAGCGAAGAGGAGCTCAACACGACGGTCGTGAGCCAAGACACCGAAATGGATCAGCTTCGAGAAAAATTGAAAATTCTACAAGCATCTTTGGACGCATCGAATAGGGAAAACAATTTATTGAAAAAAGAGATAAAATCACGTGTAGACTCTACCGACGCACATCTAGCCAACGTCACCCGTGCCGACGTAACCCCAGGTAAATGCTCTACCTACGCGCCTATATTTTCCGCTGCTGCGTAAGTTCAAGTTCTGCCAACGCCGACGCTGTTGGAACGTCTCAAAACACTACCACTTCAACGGAGGTAAGTTCTGCTCATACTTATATTCATGCCTACAATGCCAACGCCAATTACGCCGGCGTACAATCTCGCTACGTCACACCCGCCGACGTTTCTACAAACCTAGTTGCCTCTGCCAACGCATACCGAACATTTGAAAATGTCGACTGCAGCCGTCACTTCGGGAACCGAACTTCGATTCCAACCTCAAACCAAATATACAACATACCACAGCCTCAACAATATGAACCGATTTATAATAATCAAAGTACATTTTCTTGGGGCAACGCGCTACCCAATACCCCCCAAAACACCCAGTTCTATGTACGAAAATTGATAGATTTGCCGGAGTTTTACGGCTCTCCGGAAGAATGGCCTATGTTCTCTGTGGCCTATCGCGAAACGACTGCCACGTATGGCTATACAAATCTAGAAAACTTGTTGCGCTTGCAAAAGGCTCTAAAAGGCACTGCTCGCCAACGCGTACAATCGTTGCTAATACACCCGGCGAGTGTTGGTTCAGTCTTAAATTCTCTTGAATTCAGTTATGGACGTCCAGAACTTCTTATCCGTAGTCAGATAGCTAAAGCCCGAGCATTTCCAGCTATATCAGCTGGAAAATCAAATGAAATTATTAATTTATTTACAATGGTATCCGATTAGACAGCGTTCCTCGAAAGCGCCGGTGCACATCCTTATATGGTAAATCCAACACTAATGGATGAATTGGTGAGCAAGTTGCCCTTTAACAAAAGAGAGGAGTGGGTGCGCTACACTTTTAGTATGCACCAACCGTACCCTAGTCTTCGGGACTTCTGTGCCTGGTTACAGCAGATTGCCACTTATATATCTGTTGCTAGTGACATGGGTACTGCAAAACATTCAAGTGTCAATGAATCAGGAGTTCATCAACAAAGAACTCCGAAACCCGTGTTGACTGTGGACGAAAATAAAACAAAGTGCATAGTGTGCCAGGAAAATCATAAACTATATTTATGTCCGAAATTTAAAGATTTGGAGACCTCACAAAGGTGGAATATCACAAAAAAACAACAGTTATGCTTTAGTTGCCTCAACACAGGTCATAATACCCAAAACTGTGTAAGACGGCGGGAGTGTGGCATTAATTCCTGTCGTAAATTTCACAATCGTCTTTTACATAATTTAAATTTTAAACCTGAAAAAGGCAACTCTTTATCCAACACTGCTGTCGCTACCATAAGTGGCTGCAAAACTGTAAGTGCCTCTCAAACCATAGAATCAGCTGTCAAATGCGAAAATGAGGAGAAAAACAAAACAATTGATTGTCATACGCTGCTGAAGTATTTGCCGGTGAAGCTGAGCGGGCCAAAGGGAACAATTGAGATAATTGCTTTTATCGATGAAGGAGCCAAAGTGTCTTTGTTAGAAGAAAGCACGGCACATTTACTCGGTTTAAAAGGAGCATCCAGCTTGTAATCGCTAAAGTGGATAGGCGACAAAACGACCAGTGAAATGTCACGAGAAGTGCGCTTAGAGGTTGGCGGCGTCTTCGACGGCGCAGAGAAATTCTGTATGAAAGGCGTACGTACAACTGGCAAACTGTTGTTGCCATCGCAGTCGCTGAACTTTGGAAAAATTGTCGAGCAGCATAATGAATTAAAACGTATTCCAATTAGAAGCTATAAAAACGCCACAGCGCAGTTGCTTATTGGCGTATCACACACGAATTTGGTACGGCCAATTAATATGTGACCTGGTCTACGGAAAGGGCGCTTAGGTGTCAAAAAATCAATTTTCACTTTTTGGTTGATTCGGATGGAAGATGAGATGCTTTTTCACGTGGTGAAAAGCAGAAAATCCTAACTTGCTTAGAAGTGTACTAAAAATGTAGAGAAAGAAAACAGTTAACGTCACTTCTTCAGTGTTACTTTTTTAAATGTTCCACACTAGCAACTTACACGATGAACTATAATAATATTCCGACCAACAACAACACTTACTGGACCAACAACAACACTTACTGGACGTCCGGCGCGGAGAACAATTAACGAGATAATGAGAAACTGACGAAACGAGTTGCTTACTTTTAACAGCTTTTTCACAGAAAACTAGTTTTCGCACGTAAGCTCCCTTTTCGTAGACCAGGTCACATATGTTGAATTTCGACGACGGTTTTACTGCGCACAACACGAAACTTGGTTGGGTGTTGTTCGGGTCAAACGAGCCCAATTGTGAGGATGCTACGCTGGCCATGTAGCCACTGACAACGACACTTTAGTAGATTTGCAGAAACAAATGACAGATTATTTTGAATTGGAAAATTTTCAAGCAGCGGCGCTGCCGCGCGTGCGGTCGACAGCTGACATAAGGGCGGAAGCTATTTTAAAGCAAACTACAAAGTATGTGGGGGATAAGTATGAAACTGGGCTCTTATGGAAAAGGGATAATGTTACTTTAGGCGAAAATTACACTATGGCACTGAAACGACTAGAGGTTATCGAAAGACGCATGCTTAACGATGCTGATTTTGCGAATTGGTATAAGCAAAAAATTTCGGAATATGTTAGCAAGTCATACGCCATCAAATTAACACCGCTTGAATCTGCGATAGATAACGAGCGCACATGGTACTTGCCACATTTTGTGGTACAGAAAAATGACAAAAGGCGGCTGGTATTTGACGCCGCGGCCAAGAGAGATGGGGAATCGTTGAACTCGGTATTAATGAAAGGGCCTGATGAGTATCAGCCAAAACCGTTGCTGTCAATATTATTCAAATTTCGACAGGGTAAGTTCGGCGTGTGTGGGGACATATAAGAGATGTTCCACCGCGTCGATATAAGGAACGAGGATCGAAGTGCACAAAGGTTCTTGTGGAGGGACGGGGATTCAACAAAGACACCAGATGTATACACGATGA